AATTTGGTCAATTGGTTGATCGTACAATACAGAAGTTTCAGTCTGTGACTCAGCGGCTTCTTTAAGATAGACAAGTGGGCAGAATTCTGAAGTTCTTTTGCCGTTGGGCGCGATTGTTATGTATGGAGCAGAAGGCGAGTTATTGGCTCATGGTGCTGGATGAGTAGTTTCAAAGCGACAGGGGTGATTAGGCTAAGCGAATTCACGCAGAGCTGATATCCTCTATCACGGCTGACGTTGTCGCGCTGATTTTATAAATGCACTGGAGGATTAATGCTTCCATGAGCAGCTTGCTTAACACGTCTTTCTCTGATGATATTCTTTCACTCTGACCTTCGAGGGCGCGACCTTCTGTGCCGCGTCTTGCATCACCCTGAAGGTCCTTTTACACCGTTCCTTGACTTTCCTAGAGCAAGACATTGTTTTCTTACCGAGTGCCTCGCTGCCACCTGTCGCTCAGGCTCCTCCGCGATCATCCATCCACCTCCATATTCAAGGCGATCCACTGTTCTCGGAGTGACAGTGTTCCCTGATTCTCTTACGTAATACTTCCCGCATTTACAGGGTAATTTGTTAGTTGTGATTCTCAGTTTTAAGAAAAGTTTTATTAATTCTTAATAAAATTATTAAAGCCATCAGAAGTTTTATGTACTAAGTTTATATAATATCTAACGTTAAGCAACCTCTGTAACTTTCCACCAAAGTGTTCATGCGGGATAATTAAATAAATGTCATTACTAAAAATATTATTTAGATTGGTGGTTGGACGAATCATGGCTTAGAGTACCAAATGCAACAGAAACCTTTATTGCCAACGCGTTTCGCTACATAAACTGTAGCATCATCAGGGCTAGGATGAGTATAAATCTGTGATCTGCAATGAACTGCTGCAAAACCGCACTGCAGAGCAGGGCGAACAAAAATCTGCTCATACACGTAATGAAATGCCACTATCTGGAAGCATTTATGTGCAAAAACATAATTCTGGTATTTATGGGTTAGTAGCAAACTACTAGCGTTTTGATTTCGCCATTCTCCTGTACATTAAACAATAAGCCGTATTTAATTCTTCCTTACCATAAATTCCTTAATAAAAAGTACATATTTGTACGTACAACCACTAAGACAGCGACGGCACTGGTGCAGTTCGTTATTAAACTGTTTTGCATGCTAGCATGCAGGGTCAAACACAATGCGCGGAGTAAATTTTCTCGCATCAACTGCTAATTATTCTCCTGAACGAGAAATTTACCCCACTCTGCTCCTGTGCAACCAACACGAAAACGCATGGTAGGTTGCTATCCTCTGAATAATAGTGACATGGTAATCTCTTGATCTGATCATGCAAAGCCATGCGAGACATACGGCCATTCCATCTGATGCGTGCACCTCAAGGTTGCAATTCGCCTTGACTCGCTAGCCAATCGAAAAAATATCGGCACAACGTGTGAACAGAAATTAAATTAAAAACAAATAACTGTTTATAAAGATATCTGTTTACACTTTATCTACGCAAGTCTCAACGTTGATACTGTAACTACAGTAACCACTGTATCATTGAAAGGTTTGGTTTAGCAATTTAATACAGTTTAAAGCGGTTAAATATGTAATAATTATCGTAAAAGCAATATTGTTCTTATCTACAGGCTTGTGCAGTAATCTAACATATGTGGAAAAATATTGGAACACTTTTCTGCAAATCTGGAACCAGTCAGAACCTTTAATACTGAAAAAATGGGAATTTTCACTCTACGAACAGCTTTCAAGGAAGGAATTACGTCCGTAAATCGAGGGTATGACTAGGATCAGTATTTCACCGAGCATTACAACTTAGTCCGTCGTTCCAGAATAATCGCTTGCATCGAGACAAAAAAAAACTGACATGAAAACAATACAAGCGGTATGATAGCCACTTTGAACGGATAGAATCGGGAGAGAAAACCAAATGATCATCAGCCCATCATGTGCAACGCAAAAACAACAGCAGAAGTGACACGGAATTGTGCGTTTCATCCAAACTCCTCTGAAATGAGAATAACGCTCCTTGTATCGCAAATGACGACCAAATGGCTTGAACCAAATGTCCTAGAAATAAGGAAACGAAAATTTCTCATTACTGGGATGTCGGTCGCCAGTTCATATTGGGCATAATTGCAGCATGACTTCATGTAGGCTAAGAAGCAGTGCTACAATTATCCATCAAGCTATGCATTAAGAGTGAGATGATATTTTCAAAGGCTACAAAATCTTGGCTTTGAAAACTTTCTACAGCTTGCAGCTTTTGTTTCTGTCTCATAAAACGGTACTCACTTTTCTATCTTACAATAACGAAAGGACAATGACCACACCTGACAATGAATCAATGATTTTTCGATTGCGAGTATGAAGCTTTATCAACTGAGCTACCCAGAAATGCTTTCGAGAGATACCACCGATTCAATGCCACAAGATATCACTATGAAATCTACTTAAATGATCATCGCTAGGATTGTTCTCACCTGTAGTGGCGCACCACGAGCATTTGTGAACTACTTAACTTACAGTAAACCACCATTACCCTTGTTACGCGCAATAGTAATCTATTTGACTTCTGAGAAGCTGATCAACGGAGGTATTCTGCGACAGATAAAAAGAATACCTTCAAACCATCTTCAATGTGATTCAGGAACTCGAAAATATCCAAACGCTCCAAACATGTTTCCAGTAAGGTGTACATGCACTCGAAGGCAGCCTTTCGCAAGTCAAGACCATCATCGACCGTATGCTTGAAAGGTCCCATCTCCACTTCTCGAATCAAGTCCTTACGAACAATGGTTTCACTGTAAAGATGAGGCATAAATTCGTCCAACAAATCACGAACAAGCGCCGGCTTGTTGTGGGCTGCCGAATTGAACGTTAGCAGAGTGACCCGTCGCACGTTCAAATCTGGATCTGTTATCGTCGCAAAGAAGCTGCCGATGTTCGCCTAAAGAAAACGACGTATATGCAAACTTCATCAGAAATCTCACACAGCCCTTACTTTGATGAGTTCGTCTATTGGCTGAGGTTCATCGACAATTATGAACTTCATGGCCGTCACCAGCGCGGCACGAACCAACGGGCTTTTGCTTTCCACCAGATGACCTTTCAATTTCGGCAGAAGCCTATTCGGCTCCAAAAAGCAAAGTTTACCAAGACACTCCGCTACCACGTTGCGTACGCCTTCTTCAGCACAGTCTGCGTTGGACATCAGCACCTAATGCAATGAAACAGCAAATTGTTATATTTTCCGTAAAATATTCCAGAACTGACGTGTAATCAAAAAAGAAACTATTCACATTCCCTATGAGGCAGCTGCGCCTATTCGTTTATCAGTGCTTCTTACAATAATCGAACATCACCTGTACCCAGTCCAGATGCCAAAGCCTGTTTCTTTAGTGCGATTTATCAAAAGTTCATCTAATCCATGGCCAGTAACTCAGTCTCGTGCGTACCAATTCGTAAACGCTGAAGTTCATCCGCTACATGTCAATCATGCAAAATCATAGCCAATACTATTTTCACTTTTACTACTTACGTCACATCTCAACTTCATCCCTTTCATAGTTCTTGATTCCACAACAAGTCCGTTTTCGAAATCCAACGCCATATTTATTTTTGCAACTCTTTTATATAGGATCACCAGCTTCTGGTGATGAT